CAGTACACACTTTTTTAAACTTCCCACTATCCTCACTAACGCACCCTTTACAGCTATATGTATCCCTGTAAGGTTGTATATAAACTAGAATGAACAGATTACTGCTCTGGATACGAGGCTCTCTTCCACCTGTCCTCCTCCCTTCACCACCCTGGATAGATAGATACAAGGAGATTAACACCGTAAACCATGTGAAGTAAAGACTGTCAAATTACCCAAAACATCATAAAAAAGTTCCGCGACATTAAAATGCGAGCTCGTGCACTGTTTTCTATGATAACGACTAACCGGAGCACCAGTTAGATGAGAGTGTGCTCGGTCTGACTGCTGCAGAGTAGCTCGGGTGCATCTTAGTTCCGTCAGATTATTTTTGCTTAAGATTTTACCGGAGCTACTCAACATAGAATTGGACCATGTAATCATTTGCCCAATTTCATAGAACACACATTTTGAATATTCTTTTCAAAGAAAATTAAATAATTAAGTTTTAGGAACAATGTTCATTGTTTTATATTTTGGCTGAATCAATTAAATCAAAAGAGTGCTATTCAGCTTTTTTTTATGTTTATATCTTTAACAAGCAAATTTGGATATTTTAAATGCAGTTTAAAACTTAGAAGTTCTCATAAGGTGCCTTCAGAGAACCAAGGATATCAATAGAAATCGTTTTGTTTCAAGAAATCAGTTTGCTGAGCTGTCTTACAGATTAAGTAATTTAACCAGGAATAAAAAGTTAAGCTACTCCTAGATCATATTCATATAATTTGATTTTTTTAAATTATTAATAATAACGAGCTTGTGAATGCAGCTCATTCTTAATTCTGGGTTTCACTCCAGGTTTCGACGCAATTGTATTTTTATTTGTGATTTGTTAAGCATTATTACGCATAAAGTTTTTAACAATTTGCAATTACGCTGGCGCGATTTTTTTGCTCAATAAAAACGAACGCAATAGCACATAATTCATAATTGCATTTACAACTTGTAACGCAATAGTTAAAGGTAGTGACCGGCCATGTAAGGTAGTTGAACTGAGTATGCAGTGTGTGGAAAACTTTTTTCGGATTCATTTGAGACATATTAAACTTTTTAAAGATCTTTAAATCCTGAGTTTGAGCGCAAATTCGACGTTCAAAACTCCTACTTTGGGGGTAGATACATTTCAGAATTCGGTTTTTTAAAATTATTAAATACCGACGACACAAAATGTAAAAAAGTTCTACAATAAACTACAGACGTTATGTATAGGAACATGTTGAGAAAATAAAAATTAATCTTATCATTGAAAATAAGTAATCTTACCTTATAATCTTAAAATCAATTATTAGTTTCTATTTTCTCATTATTCTGGTTTCTCATTATTCAAAGATTTTCTGCAGATTTTCTAGAATTATTATTGAAAAGACGACATTTGAAGAATTTGAAGAAATCTGCGAATAAGTTTAAAAAAAATAAGAAATTCAATATAAAAATGCAAACAAAATAATCGATTTTAGCATTGATTTATTGACAATTATTACTTTTTAGAAATATGTTCTTAACCATCTAATTAGATCACTGAATAATTTTCACTTAATTTTTCGTTGTCGTTATTTAATAACTTAAAAAAACTAATTCTGAAAACGTATCCACCCCCAAAGTAGGAGTTTTGAATTTGCACTTTTTATGAGAATGAATAAGATATCGATGTTTTTAACTTTAAGAATTGAGAATTTAAAAATTGAATATCTTTTTTTTAAAGATCTAAATATTTATTATTTGCTATAAATACATTTAAATATGATATCAGGTTTTAACTATCGCAGAAAATTATAGCATATTACATGTTTTTAAGTTTTAAGATTCTCTACCAAGGCGCAGTGATATTTTAAAGTTTTTAAAATTCGAAAATATCTCTCAGATTCTGTTTCATGCTCGGGGTCAAAGACAGTTTCAGGTTTAGGTTCAAGTTCAGGTTCAGGGCTAGGTTCAGATTCATGGCTAGGTTCAGGTTCATGATCAGGTTCGGGTTCAAGGCTGGGTTCTGGTTCAGGTTCATGAACAGTTTCAGGTTCTAAGCTAGGTTCAGGTTCAAGGCTAGGATCAGGTTCAGGTTTAAGGGTAGGATCAGGTTCAGAATCGATGCTTAAGTGCCTATTATCTCCATCCACCTGAGGAATAGGAGATGAAGCAAGAGATTGAGATCTTGTTTTTCTCTTTCTCTGGGAGGTAGATGCAGAGTTTACTGTTCCTCTTGTATCTATTACATTAAATACACGAACAGTCTTGGGGATTTTTTCTCAACAGAATCTCCAGTCCTCTCAGCTCCCTGGTAGAGAGCTAGGACCTGTTGTATCAAGCTCATGTTGGTATACTTGGGAGGTATTGAAGAGGCAGGGTGGGTGTTTCCGACATTTCAGCTGATGCTGGTAGGGCCAGCCCTAGTCGCTGGGGGCCAACACAGGGCAGGTATTAGGCAGCACAGTAGAGGGTAGATGTTTTCAGTCTGGATGCCGGGAGAACACTGCGAACACACGTTGAATATCAAGATCAAGCATTTAGATTAAGAATACTTCACATAAAAGTTCTGATCTCTGGTTCAAATGTTTTTCTTTCATTTCTTTTAAAGCTGTCACAAGAAAATACATTTTCTAATTAAACAGAAATGTAATAATTCTTTTATTCATCTCCATAACGGAAAATATCGAATTTGATTTTGTTTAACAGTAACAAAAAAGTTTAAAGACAATGTATTGTCAATTTAACTACAGTGAAACCCAAAATAACGAATACATCGAAAGAATTCAACAAATGTCGTTTTCTTCACTTTCTGATAATTGGAATGTTGCAGATATTTAGTTTTTTAATGAAATGATTATAAGGAACTCTTTAAAACTGTTCCCGCATATTCATGGTTATTTATTTATTTTTGCAAATACTGAAATTTAAGTAATATAGTATAAAAATCATTGAAAAATTGTCAAGACGACATTTGATAAATTCTTCCGATATATTCGTTAATAAGGGTTTGACTGTATGACAGTACGTTTAGTGGGGCCGACAGCAAGTAACGATGTAATTTGGAGATTGCTCTTTTGTTCAAATTTTAACTTCAAGATTTTATATCAATAAGCGAATTGCAACCATTAAAAGGACTGCACAACTAATCCATCTGTAGAGTCACAGTTTACGGTTCAAATGGTGCCCTAAAGCGCTTTTTATGAGAATTAATAAGATACCGATGTTATTAATTCAACAAATTTAAATTTTTAATTCTATAGAGTATACTGCAAAATTTGCCTGTAAAAAACAATAAAAGAAACACTTATAAGATTGGCACACAATGATATCTTTTTTTTTTAAATGGAGGTTCACTTTTAAAATTACAACTGAAATCCATTTTCAAATCCAAAAAAAAACATTCTTTAATGCAGAAATTTTATCGAAGATTCTTATTGCTTAAACCCTTTTTTCTGACATAAAATGATGTCAATAAAAATTTAATGAAAAATTAAGATATAATTCAGAATTTTAAGTTTTCAAAAGGTATGCATCAATCTCACAATTGTAAATGTGTTTGTTTTAGAATCTTTAAAACTCACAAACTAGTTGATAATTATTTGTAAGTCAAAACTTTCATACAAAGAAATGTTGATTTAGACCTGGTTTTCAAGTACCCCAGCGGGGATAGGGTTAAATCAATAGTGAAACCTGTATTTCTCATTTGTATAGCTTTTTAGTCTTTCGATCAACCCTCTATACAATTCTGTTTAAAATAACTATTTCCATTCACACTTCTTGTTAATATGTTTTCTCTCTTTATTAATCTCTCTTGGATTAACATTAAATTTTTTTCTTCTTGATTAATAATTCCAGAAAACATTTATTGAAGTTTTTTTCCCCGCTGATTAAAAAATCTTCATGTCAACAAAAGTATTCTATCAGGGCGGTTCGCGCCCATCTTCTTTATCAAATTTTATTCTTGCTAACTCTGTCAGCATTTTCTCTTAGATAAAAAATGAAAAAATGAAGTGTATTTACACTTTTTTTTTCGTGGACTTGTACAATTTTCCGAGCATTCAAACCCTTACAGCTGTGATCATGTGAGGTCCCACAAAAAAATTGGTCTGAATTGGGTTTGACGTTTATTGGATAAATACAAACAAACAGACAGACAGACAGGCCAAGTTATTTATATAATTCATTTCAAAATTTTTTCTTTAATTTTAAGATAAAATAATCCTTTACTCATAATATTGGTAACACAAATTAAATTTTCTTTAAAAGTCCAAAAATTCTCCACAAACGAAGCAAATTTCGTTCACTATTATGATTACAATTCGGGTGTTTAGTCCAACACATATTTTAGTTCAGTCGACAAAGATTTCACTTTATAAAAGGTGAACAATTATATTTATTTTTACTTTTACTGTGACAGAAAAACAACAAAACTGGAAACTTGCAATTCTTTTTTTCTCCTGTGAAACAAAATAGAATAACACAAAAATTGTATAATTTTGCAATTTGCAAAAAGTTGACGAATTCATGAAAACATAATATTACATGTAATTTCAAGGAACCCATTATTGATAAAGTTTTATGTAAAATTCCCAAATGTACCCTTAATAGCTTTGTCTAGCAAGAGATCTAGTTTTAATTATATATTTTCTTTCTGAAAACTGTTTTTTATTATAACGTTATTATCCACGTTATCAGATTAAGGTTTCAAGGGTACAGATGTAAATTGGGCAATGGTTATGCCCTTCTTCATATGGATGGGAAATTTTGAAGTAATAAATGTAAGAAATTTTAAATCAACTGCAGCATTATCAATCAAACTTGTACAACGATTCTCTCAAAATTAAGTATAACAACACACACATATTTATATTTGTATTGTATATTCCATGTTGTGTTCCTCAATGTTTTGTTTAAACGGTTTTTATTAAAGTTTCAGCTATTGTTAGTTACCCTGTATCATGTATGAGTTCTCTTCTTCTCTACGTTATAAAAGAAATAGATTAAATCATCATTATATATTTATTCTGCTTTAACTAAACAGAAGTAAACGGTTAATTAAAAAAATAGAAAAACTAATTATCACTTTATTAATTTATCTTCTAGTTTGGTAGGCAGGTTCAGGGCCATAGGCGGGCTCAGGGGCATAGGCGGGCTCAGGGGCGTATTTAACTACGGGTTTGGGTCCCTTGTATGCCCCTGGGCCGGTATAAAGTCCGTATCCTCCCTTGGGTGGGTCAGGGTAGACAGGGGTACCCTCGTATCTTACATCAGCAACAAATCCTCCATCGTGGTCAGCATGGTAGGTCACAATCTGCTTCCGGCCGTCAGGAAGGTCAACCTAATATAGATGTATTAGTCCAAGAAGGTCAACCTAATAATTACATCTATATCTATATAATAATTCTCTTCGGTCATCTATATATATATTTATATGTAAGCTAAAACTGTCCAAACAGTTTGACTTTTTTTCTTCAAAATTCGAAATTCTTTTTTAAGGTGTTTTAAATTCCACGGGCACATAGATTCAGCCTGCGCCCTGCAGCCTGCTTATAAAAGTATCATCAATGTTGAAGACAGAGTCAAGTTTGAAGTGTCGCACCGCCGGGGCTTGGAAACTAATGAACACTCGCCTCGGACATTGATTTTCTATGGAATATTTATCTCTGCAACCTGATGGTGAAAAACTTTGATATCTAAACCTTTTACTGTTTGATCCAGCAGAATTCATAGTTTAAAATTTCAAAAGTCGCAAAAATTTTAGGATTAGAAAATCAAAGTTTAAGGTCATTATTATTTGTGGAGTAACCAAATTAGTAAAAAGTGAAAAGTAATTGAATGTACGTCAACTTAGTTGAACCAGCTGTTTTCAACTTGAACAGGCGCACCAGAGAAGTGGCTCAACTAAGTCAACGAAGTTCAACTTCTTTTTGCGATTTTTGTTAAGAATTATTAAAATTGAAACTTTTTTATTTATACTTTTCAGTTTCATAAAACCTAAAGTTAATTTTTCCATCGTTATAATTTTTCTCATTATTTCTATAAAAATGAAAAATAGATTATTAATGAAAAGAACAGCATGCGTAGTGCTATATGTATGGAATTTAATATTCTTTTATATTCAGAAAATGATAAATTCCTATCCTAAGCTTATGTGCAGCATACCAGTTATTTTCACAACTCAAATATATCAACAAAGTTTGAAGGGGAGTAATATTCATCCCCGTTTCTATGACATTTTTTCTACAAAATTTTTAATAATCATTTTATTAGAATCAGTAAAAAGAGGAGATGTACTAATTTAAAGGGCCGTCGTTTTAGTTTTATCTTATTTTTCAAACATTTAGCGTCTCACACATTTGAAAGATCCTTCATACTCTCTGGTCAACCGACCCCCCCATAAAATATTTACCGTGTATGATCCCTCCACGACTCCGTAATCATTCTGCGTCTCAGTTTTCTGGAATGCTGCGCCTGTATACTCATCTTTTACTCCATACTCATATGCAAATGGCTGAGGGGGGAGCTTCTCATCCTAGGTAGATAGATAGATAGATTGATAGATAGATAGATAGAGTATTTAAGAAATTAACTTTTTTTGCTAGTTTTTTACCTCTTTGTAGGGGGCAGGGGCGTATTTAGGTGCTGGGGCATATGCCGGAGGTGGAGGACCATAGCCGGGAGGACTGTCAGCCCGAGGCCGGGCGGCAGCAACTGCTAGGCAGGCGGCAAATAGAGAAACCTGAAAAATTTATTTCAAGAAACTATTTCGGATCATAATTATTTTTATTTTATATACAGCAATGAAGAAGTTGGCACTAGATGACGTTGGTAAACCACACTCTGTGTACAGGCGGAAGTTAAAGTGAAGTGGTTCATGTCCACGCGTTTCAAGCTTAACCTCTCGCTATTCATTAAATCTGAGCACAATGAAATACAGTTTTTTGCACTCTTTTTGCACTTTTTTGCAATCCAAGGTTAATCACAAATTATGATATTAATATATTTCTTTTCTCATGTATTTTTAATTATATATTTACATAATTTTATCTAAAAGGGCGCCAACATTTTACCTTTAAATTATTTACATAAAAAGGGTTTACAGATCATCTTGAAAGTCTAGTTTGTTGTAGTGTATAGTGTACAGTGTTTTTAATGGAGGGTTTGCGTTATATAGATATCTATCAAATATTTTCATTAAAATGCAATATTGAATTGGAATAGATGATAAAGAAACTGACTTTTGGCAACAAACTCAGATTTTCTAATTTTTATATCTTTGCAACCCAATGTAGGAGATATTTCAAACTGATAATTATCAAAGAATCTTAGTTTGAAATATCACAGGATTACACTATCAGGTTGCGAAGATATAGGAACTTGAACATTTTAGTTTGTTGCAAAATCTCATTTCCTTTGTAAGCAAGCATTCTTTCAATTAGAAATCTAATTTCCTTTGTAGGCAAGCATTCTTTAAATTAAAAATCCCTTTGGAACTTTCTAATTTATATAAGAACACTTTTTCTTTTTCATAAAATATCACTTCAGGGTTTTGTAATTTGTAACTGCATTATTGTAATTTGTAATTGAATTATTGTAATTTTTTCAAAGCATTATTGTAATTTGTAACTGCAATATTGTAATTTGTAATTGCATTATTGTAATTTGTAATTGCATTATTGTAATTTGTAACTGCATTATTGTAATTTGTAACTGCATTATTGTAATTTGTAATGCATATTGTAACTTGTAGCTGAATTATTGAAATTTGTAATTGAATTATTGTTAAGAGAATAAGATGTTTTGACAAATTTTAGTTTCCACAAAATACAATTACAAGTAACAGATATTAATAAAAAAATAAGAATATGGACAATATTTTACAGTTTTCTGATTATTACAGTAAAAGCATAAATATGTGATTTTCATTTGGGAAAAAACTTTTTTATTCTTTTTATTAATCTACTGTCAAAACTTCATTTATATCAAATTAAGTAGAGAAAATATTGAATTTCTTGGAAAAATGGGGCTCCAGGAAAAATTTAAAGTTCTGGTATAAGTAACTTCTTAAAAGTGAAAATTGAAACAAAACAAATTGTAACAAAGTACAAATTTTAATATTTTAAAGGTTAATGTTACCTTGAACATGTCTAAATTAAAACTAATAAAAATCTGACCTTAGCGCAAGTTTATATACTATCCGTGCACGCACGCTTCTAACAATATCATATCTTCAATACAAGGGTTGGAGTGGTGTCATGAATTTCCGGGATTTTATAATTTAAAGGCGACTTGAAATAATTTTGTAGAAATTTGCAACACAATAATACAATGATACAATACAATACATAGCTTCAGAATCTATTTACAACCAATTAAATATTTACAATTTCATAAACAATAAACATGAATTTACAATTCCAAATAAATATTACAGAATTTTCATTATTTTTCTCTGCTTGATTCATTCGCAAACATTTTGTTAAATTGTACAATTCGCTGCAATATTTATAAATATTTTAAATATCTATTAAGATCATTTGTCTCCATAAAATCTATTTACTAGATCTAATGATTATATCATTATAAAATTGTAGATACGTACAACCGGTACAACTCACGTACAACCGGTACAACTCACGTACAATCGGTGTTAATTTGAATATTCCAGTTGGGCCACCTTTGCAGTCCTAGTTTGGACTGTACCCCCAATTTACAATTACTAAAGCGGTACAGGAGTGTCACGCCCCACCGGTGTACATTTGAATATCCGAGCTGGGCCAACCTTTGCGGTCCTAGTTTGAACTGTATGCCGCCAAATTACAATTACTAAAGCGGCAGAGGAGTGTATTTGTATCATACTATTAGTCAACAATCACAAATACAACTAATCAATGGATTTTGCCTTGGTCAACTCATTTTTCAGGATTAGCGAGGAAATGTTTTTGACCGGCCATAGTGCAATTTACAATGAATTTCAATTAATCATTTTACAGAGAGAAAATTATAAAATGTCGTTTTGCAGTATATCCAGAGAAAACAATACTTTTTAATGGCTGTCATCAGCAAAAAAATATCATACAACATAAATAGAAAATGCATCCAATCTTCTCTCTGTTCCATTTCCTCGAATATATTATTAATCTGTTTTTAAAAATATAAAAGAGACTTCTTTGAAATGTTCATGTTATACTGTACATTTCATTTAAATAAATAATTTAATTAAATGATAAATAAAAACAATCAGATGATAATAAAAACATTCAAATGTTAAATAAAAACACGATTAAAGAGAATTTTTTTCTTTATTTTAAACCCTAACAGCTCTCATACGGTCTCAAAGCTAACACAAATGTCATGCATACCATACCGGGGCCACTTTTTTTCTGGCATGGCTATTCTCGAGCAGTTTTGGTAATTTATTTTATCGGGAGAAAAGATAAAAAATAATATATAATTTTTATACATAAAGCTCTGGACATTTCATCAATCTTTTTACCACTATCTTGAAAATTAACTTCTGAAGTGAAATGGGTCTATGTACACTGCACACTTGCTGCGATTCAAATGTTACTTTGTACCTAAAACACAATTTCATTTGTTACTTTGTACGTATTTAGGTACATAGGTAATTGATGCCACCCGTATAGATTAAATATAAAATATTTTAAAAATAAATCTACAAAACATCCACACCCCTAGTCCCCCCTCCCACACATCCCCAGATAAAGGTGTTTGAGGAAGGATATGCAGCTGAGCCTGAATAATGAGAAACCATGGTATATTTACATGATCATATAGACATGCAAACCTTGAGGGGAATGTTCGCAAAACTGAAAGGATGTATGAGTTAAAAAGTATTAAAAAACTGCGAATTGATCTAATTTTGTTGGATTCTAAATTAGTTATGAAAATTTTATATGAATCGTTTTCCTTAGTTTTCAAATTTTAAAAATTTAAAGATTCACGATACCCAATAATAATTCAAGAAGTTCTAAATTTAAAATTCTATTTTCTAATAGTCCTTTTTCTTAAACTAGGCTTTTAGGGCGCTTCACGCCCAACTTCTATTTCATTTGTGAACAATGTTCACAAACAAAAAAATCGCTACTTTAGATAAAAATGTGTAGATTTTCAAAATTTTTAAAAATCTAAATTTGTTAGATGCAAATTTTTTGAAAATTCGATCATTCATGAACCTTTCCTGGGGTCACGCGAGGTCCCACAAAAAAGTGGGCCAGATCAGTTAAGCCGGTTTGATACAGACAGCCATCTTAACAGACAAGCAAAGTATATAAATAGATTGCATGGGTTCAGACTTCTTCGGCCATAGTAATATAAGCTAATAATCAGGCCCGTAGCTAGGGGGGGCACTGGGGCACGTGCCCCCCTTTGCCCACGAAGTGGGGAACAGGGGGGCACACTTTATGAGACAAATAAAAAGAAAATGAGATAATGAAAAGAAGGCATCAAAAAAGGAAAGAAAGAAGAAAAAAAGGGGGAAAATTGGCATAAAATCTAAGTTTTGTTACCAATATTATGTGTTATTATTGTATTATTATTGAGTGTAAAGGATTTTTTTTCTTCAAATTAAAAAAAATTGGGAATTTTTATTTCTATCTTTGGGAAATTATAGGGTTTAGATAATTCTTTTTTAAATTTGAGAAGCTTATTCATTTTCCATCTTTTCTTAGATTAATCATTCTAATAATCCTTCGTACTGCAAAAAGTAACATGGAGACAAATTTTAATTATATATAAAATATGGCCAGGTGTAAGAGAAGCTGTTTCTACTCATCCTCAAGCTTGCAAGGAAGTTTTTTTCAAATTATAGTTTGATAAGACTGAAGATTTTCATGCTTTGAGCTTTCCTTGATCTCTACAGGCATTTACATCCTTTACTTTTCCTGTATTGGCTATTCGTGATTCAAAAATTGTCAAAAGTACATTTATTTAGAGTTTAGAAAACAGGCAAAATATCATGCGAAAAAATGCACTAATTTAGGTGTCGCAACGTCTTTGACATTGATTTTATCGCTCCAAATCAATTTTACTTTTTTTGTAGCTATTAACATGACAATTTCAAAACTTTAAATCACTTGTTTTTAGTTTTAGCTTTCAAGAAGTAATTGGCAAAATTCTCATCAATTTTGGCAGGAGAACTGGCAACCTTGAAACCACAGTGGTTTAGAAACGGGAGACTAAAACTATGCCAAGATTCTTGAAAGAAATTAGAGAAAGTAAATTAAAACATTCATAATTCGATTTTGTTCCTGTCATATTCCCGCGATTTTGATACTTTTTGAATTTGCACTTCATTCGTAATGATAGATAATTATTCCAGGGTTAACGGCCTGCTTAAAATAAATTTGAAATTGCACACCTTGTGAAATGCAAGGTCTTAAGAACGGTAAAACAGCTGTTTCAAACAAATCTTAAATATAACATTTTTAATAATTGAGTTAAAGAGTTGTAAACTTTGTATTCGAAAACCCCTTCAAAGATTGATGTAGAAACATGTAACACATCTTAATATTTGATAAAAAAATAAAATATTTAAGGTTGGACTTTTTGAATTTATTTAAAACCTTCCTAGCACCGTTTATGGACCTAAATAAACAACTTTAGTTTCATTCATTTTAGGAAAATAGCCGTCCCGTTTTTATTGAATTTTTTTGTTAAATATATCATCACATGCATATTGTCCAATCTAATTTTATTATAGATTCTCTGGCTTAACAATATGAATCTGAACTGTCAGATCTATTAATACTTTAAATTCTTAAAGGGACTATAAGGGCAATTTTAAGTGACCTTCATGCGAAGATGGTAATGCCCGATTTACTACGGTACCCTTAAACTTATAATATGACCAAAAATGTGGCAGATACTATACTTTTCCTGACTCGAAAAATGTTTATTTTTGATATCTTCTTCATTAGATATTTTAAGCAATTGTCACTTTTTATGAGAAACCAAAGAATCGGGGATTTGCCGTCTTCGCATTGAGGGTCACTATACACATTAGGCTTTCAGTCCTTTTAAACTGTATTTACTGCGTAAAGTTGTTAATCTAAAAAGTAAAAATCATCATGTTTTTCATTTTCAATTCTCAGATTTAAATATCGTATAAATTTGATCACACTAATATTTCTTGGTAGGGTTAAAAATGTTTATGAATTGAAATGATGAAGATGAATTGAATTGATCACAAGGAAGAGATTTAAACATTTAATCAGAAATGTTAAAACAGGGTGTCAAAAAAAAATTCACTAACTAAATAAATTGATTTATTCAAGAAAATGTGTTTTCAGAATAACATGAAATGTTGAAAAGAAAAACAAATTTGTTGTAACAATTTTTTATTGTAGATATACGATCCATTTCCTTGATCCCTACTCAGCCCTCTGAGAACAGGAAGGAAGGTTTTCATCTAAATCATGTCATGCCATATTTAAATTAAATTGGATTTTATTTTCAAGTTTAACTTTAATATGAAGGTTTAACTGCAGAACATATATAGGTGGTTAACCAACCAAGCAATTTAACATTTTTTAGCGGAGGGGAAGGATGGGGGAGGGGGGAGTTGAGGGGGAATTTTGGAGAGAAAAACTGAGTTTAAAGTATTAATGTGCTTTCAGTTCATATTCGTCTTTCGGTCGTTTTTTGCCTTTATTTTCTTTCAGAGGGAAAATTTGGTAAAATGTAAGAGTAGCAAATGTTTTTTTAAAATTTCTATTCTAAACATTTGCTTTTCTATAAGAACGATAGGATAGGATAGGATAGGATAGGATAAGAAAGGATAGGATAGGATAGGATAGGGATAGGATAGGATAGGATAGGATAGGATAGGATAGGATAGGATAGGATAGGATAGGTTAGGATAGGATAGGATAGGATAGGATAAAAGATATTGCAAAGTTTAATAAAAGTAAACATAAAGATATTACAGTTTTAAAATCTGAATAGTTTACTGAATTTTTTTATAAAAACTATCCAAACAATTAACACTAGTTTGGAGATAAAAAATCTGTTGAAAGAAATTTGATGAGAATTAATGTAATGGGCCATGAGAGATTTTTTAAACCGTAGAATTTTTTATTTTAAATCATAAATTTTTTTATTTTGTTTATATTAATCAATCATCATAAACCTGATCAAAATGACATGTAATTAACATCGGGTAACACGATATTCTGTAAACCTGAACTACGTTGTAAATTGATAAATTTCTATGTTTGTAAACTTCTACGTAAAATCCATTATTCATGTGATATATACATCCTGATGTACTTCTTAATTGCAACTATTTCAACTGTGCTGTAATATGTAACAGGATTGCCATAATCATGTGATATATAAAAAGAGGTATGGATTGAAATTACGTCTATTAACTTGTAACATATAAACCTCAAATACATTAGTTGATATAGAGACTCCGTACAGTTAACTGCAAGAGTGTTATCGTTCCCTGTTTTGATAAACAGGTTGAGGATTGTGGCCCTCGTTGAAACATGTGAGTTGAAGATCGCGCCCAGTTGTAGTGGCGTTGATAGTTCACAGGGTTGTAGCCATGGGGATCGTGTTATGGAGTAGGGCATTTACTACAAGCGTAGTTTAAAAACTTTAAATGCAAATTCATGACTTTTTTCTCTTCAAATTAATTTTCAATATACAATTATAACTTTTCTCCAAAATATTGTTTTTGATTGTGACTTTATCCGCGAATATTACTCTTCAGATTTTTGTATATTCTAAAAACCTATATTTCTTTTTTCTTAAAATTATAGACCATAATATATGAAATAGAGGTTATAGTTAGGAATAATTTGAGAATAGAATTTTCATTGCATCTTGTGTCAAAGAGAATGTGCACATTGTTTTAAAAGTTTTAGCATAAAAATATAATTAACGTTATAATATTATTTTTTTTATAATTAACAGTAAAGTAATATTATCTTTTTATTTCTCGTCATTGTTTTTATCATTGATTACTTCAAAGGCTAAAACTGTTATAAACATATCTTAAAGTTATAGATGCTTATTGCTTAGAAAAAGTAATTGAGTCTTTGCAAAAAACTCTCATTTTCTAATCCCTATATCTTTGCAACCCATGATGCCGTAGACCCTAGATATTTTAAACTTCAAATTCTTTCAGATCAAAAATTAAGTTTAAAATATCACAGGTTTACACCATCACAGGTTGCAGAAATATAGAGATTAGAACCTTTGAGTTTGTGGCACAGACTCAATTTCTTCGCGCACAGTCCCTTAGCTAAGGCGGAAGCTGCCTATATCTAGATATACCTGCACAACATCCATATTACCGACACACAACAACATATTTCCGGGAGACCACATACATGCTTCGGCCTTGCACTACTAGGAGGGGATAAACTAGCTTTAAAATCATAAACTGGGTCTGCTTCACCAGAAAAACTGCTAAGATAAACCCCCTTCATTTAACTTAAAAGAATTTACATTTTATTTAAACCAAAAAATTAAAAACAAGAAAGCCCTGTAGTTAGAATCATGGGTCGTTCGTTTGCTTCAATGCGTCACTGCTTGACTTTTGAGGCATATCTGATAGATAGATAGATAGATAGATAGATAGATAGATAGATAGATAGATAGATAGATTGATAGATAGATAGATAGACAGATAGATAGATAGATAGATTGATAGATAGATAGAGAGATAGATAGATAGATATATAGATAGATAGATAGATTCTTATATTCCTAGAGTAAAATCTATTAAAATTGGACTGCTTCCTCCTCTCAATTTCCCTAAAATATGGTATGAAAATAAACGACACTTTTCAAAGCTTTCTAATATCATTCTTATTTCGAATTTTAAACAGAGTTAATTAGAAGATTTACTAGATAGATAGATAGATAGATTTATATATAGATAGATATAGATAGATAGAAAGTTAGAGAAATAGAAAGATTTATACATAGATAGATAGATAGATAGACAGAGAGATAGATTGAGAGATAGATAGATAGATAGATAGATAGATAGATAGATAGATAGATAGATAGATAGATAGATAGATAGATAGATAGATAGATAGATAGATACAGGTTCCTCCTAATGACATGGAGCAGCACAACGGTCTATATATTTATAGAAAATGTTTAAATCAACTATTAAGACCGGACCAGATTTCTCCGAAGCATTGGACAGGGGAGGGGTTGTGGCTATAGCTATTTATTCATCAAACGAAAACGAAACGATCGTTTTTAATTAAAAACCAAGAAGTAGGTTTTTTTTTAATTTCTCAAGAGTAAGACTAACATATCTATTAATTTTTCCATTCTTCAAAAGTTGAAAACTAATAGTTCGTTATTTTTAGAACCCTTCGTTTGCTTAAAAACGAAGGTTTGTTAGTTTTGAAAAACCAAAAACGATACAGTGATAACCAGAAAACAATGGATTGGGGGGACGATATTTTAGCAGTACACTGAAGTGTATTCAATGTTGTATCAAAGAAGATATTTTTGACAGAAACTTATTATATCATGCTGATCTGACTTTTTAAAGTTATAACTTAATTCAAAGAGTAGTTTTCCTGATCCAGAATTTTCTGGTTTTTTTCCTTATTTATAGAATCCATTCAAGGACATTTGATTCATACACTGTGTTCCTCACCTCAGTGTATGGTTGTTGAGTTCAATAATAAAAAATATTTTTAATAATTTATATAAATTTACATAATTTACAAATGTGCATAATTTAAGAAATTTTTCATTTAAAATTTTTTTTCAAAATTTTAAAAATAATTTAGTTTTTAGGGGTTTTCTATTCTTGGTTTTGTTTGTAACAAATTCAGGATCTGTATCTAGTTTATCTATCTGTCTTATCATGTTTAGTACATACCCTGACCGCCCGGTCAATCTATTTCACCTGTTATCAATAAATTAGTATCATATTAATCTTTGTTTTAAACGAACGTGTTTAGCCTGGATTGGCTACGTAGATAGTCAGCTGATTGACTGAAGATTTGGAGTTAGAGACAAGTAGTTAAAGAATACTCGGGACCTAGATTGTTACAGGTTCATGAATAAATATTGCCTCAAATATTTGTATAGATAAATTTGTTTACTTTAAAAAACAATAACTGTAGCTTCTGAAGCTGAAAAAAACGGGATTATCTATAGCTTTGGACAACAATTTTAAAATGCCCCATACATTTTGACCCAAAGAGAAGAAATTATACATATGAAAAAATTGTCATTTTGGGCAAGCTTTTTTGTCATTTTTCACAAACAATTTCCGTAGATTTACTGGAATTTTGAGCGACGAAATTGATCTTAAAAATTGTTTTAATACTTAAAAAATCTGTATGTAGTTTTATATCAACAAGAGTTAAGAGTTTTAAATAAAGTTAATCCACCGGAAGCATATTTTATCTAATGAAATTTCATATGTTACATCCGGCCTTCTTCTATTCATGGAACAACAATACTTCTGTAATTAAATATATTAACAAGTGCAATTCTGAATTAAAAATCTAAAAATAAACTATTGTTGCAGATTATTGAACTTTGAACTAAAAAATTACATTGTGTCTGTAAAACACTTTAAAAATTGATCTGTTGGGTCCCAACTTTGCATCTAATATCTTTATGTAAACTTGTCACTAAACAATTTAAGAAAATATGTAATTCTCAAGTTTTAAAGTCAAATTTGTCCTGTATTTCATTGTCCTGTACTGTAATATTATTAATATTTATAATTCCAACAATAGATAAAAATACAAACAACTGTACAGAAATAACTAAATAACTGGTTAAATTATCAGAAACTTGTTTTCACCAGACAAAGAAATTAATCCTTTTAATCCTTTTCTATGCATTGTTTGATCAGAGATATCAGGATCAACTTCATACCTCATTTGGATATTCAATTGTCAGATAGCTCATAAAGGGAGTGTTCGCAAAATATCAAAGGGGGTATAGGCTTGCGTCGAAAAATATTTGATGGTGATTGCTACTAATCTTACTTCGATTTATTGCGTCTATAAGGAGAAAATTGTTAAAAAAAAAACGACTCATGCATAACAAAGAACATTGAGTCTATACAAATTCAGAAAGTTGAAATATTTGACTCGGATCGTTAATAACATCAATTTAATTCCAAACTAATCATTCAGATACTACAACCTATAATCATTGTTTTTTATTCCACGCATTCATAATACTTTTTACTTTTTATGATCTGAGAGTTACTTATAGAAACATTCATTCCTGTTTTGAGGATTTTTATAATATAATGAAGACGACATTTTCATGTTTTCGAGGAATGTGTGAAAATCCTGCGCCAGTTGTGAAAAGTTGTAAGCAAAACATTAATTTAAAATGTAGCACTTTTCTAAGTACACTCTACTTATAATCACCCATCAAACCAACACAATAATCTATTGAAATACTTCTCTGAATGAATATTGGCCAAATTTGAATCTAACGAATACAAATTTTTATATTTATTTCTAAATTCATTTAAAATTCAATAACCAATACTGTGTATGAATACATAGTTAGAGAAAATTGTGCACAAAAGGGAATTTGTATATTTGTATTGGGGTACTTTAGTCCTACTTTGATACTCACCGGACATTGCATTTACAAAACTATATTTAAAAAATGTTAACACCATGATGGATAAGAAGGCTATAAAAAAAATAATAAAATGGGGAATATACATTTTCCTTACTTTGTTTTTTCTGTATGTGGGAAAAAGCTCGGTTCAGAAATATTTAAACAAAAAGACAATCATTATAAGGTACATTTTAAAAAAAAATAAGGTCTTAAACATTATTTTCTTGAGGGGCCATAAAGTAACCTAACATCTTGCCATTGTAGTACATTGGAAAAGTCCTGGTTCATGATTTTGAATATTAATTAAAAGGAAGTTAAAGTAATATTTAAACTGGATTACATTTTCAGTTCATTAACCGAATCAGAGAAAATAGAATTCCCCGCCATAACTATCTGCAGAAAATATACCTTTGATCATGCATCCAATGCTCTTCATCAAACAATGGAGTCATGGAAGAACCACTCTCAGACATTTGTGAAAAATTGGGTTTTAAACCACACTCATTCCATAGAGAAGGTATTTCGCTTTGTTCAGCATAGAACAGAGCAAAGAGAATTCCCTTGTGATGTGGTAGAAGCTCCTCTTTTTCCCGGAGCACCATGCTCATTCCAGTTTAATACTGGAGACTGTGGTATTGCTAACAATCAAAACCCATTAAAAAGTAATTGGTGCAGATCATTCAATGAGAAAAGCAATCTTCTGGTAAACAACAACTGTACAACTGTACACGATGCAAGGCCATGGTGTGCAGTGCGAGTGTACAAAAACCAGTCTGCTATTGTTGGAACATATGGATACTGTAGAGAGGAATGCCAAGGACAACGCCCAGATCAGAATCAGCCTGCATACCTAGCCAGACAACAGTTTTCTCATTTGTGGAAAACTCAGATGTTTAGTTTAAATGGGTGGAAGTCAGGTCATTGCTACACCTACATGCCTGATGAACTTTATTTACCTGGAAGTGATGGTAATTTCTATGCTCTCTTAGAAGATGGGTTTAAAGAAATTGATCAAGTGGGAGGATATAATGTTTATCTTCACTCTGAAAAGGTATTTAAAAAAGGTTTAAAATACAAATAAATGTTTATTTTATCCAAATAATCAAATGTTAATTATTTAGCGAGGTAAATGTTGCATATTTTGGGGCTAGGCAACATTTAGAATTTACAAAATCTAAAACCTTAACTAATCAACTTTTCTTAAACATTTTTTGAAAAGAGCAAGAACAGAGATAAGCGTTTTTTAAGACAAAACTTAATTAAAAAGCTTTGCTTGGTTAATTTTCAGCACTTTTGGCCTAACATGGACTTGAAAGCAACAGGACAATCATCCCAAATATCCATTAATTTTGGAGAATATGTTAAGGTACAATTTTAGTACTAACAAGACAGATAATTTAAAATTGAATATTATTTTCAGGTGAAATTTCAAATCACCCATGAGAAGAAATTATCAAACTGTGAAGCCGAAGAGGTGAGGATTATTAACCATATTTTCTTTTAATTTAAAGAGTACTTTTCTTTAGAGTTACAGCATGACTGATTGTCTGTTCAACTATGTCCACAAAATGTCAGGATGTCAGCTCGACTGGTTTAATGAGCCTTCCCTTGGCATTCCTATTTGTGAGGGAATTCAGGCTATGGAGAACATGTACAGAGTGTTGGAAAACATTGGAGATTGGAGCTATTCCACAATTGTTGACAAGACAGGTATAATGAGCTCACCTCGCCAGAAGCTTTAAAAATCACCTCTTTAATTTCAGGTTGCAAAGTTCCTTGCAACAAACAGCATATTTTGATCAAGGAACTAGATGGGCAGAAGATATACTGGAGAACAGACTGGATGTCAGAGTTCTTTCTAGAGGCAGATTCAGGAATAGTTCAGGTTTTCTACTTTATTGTTAACACCACACACTTTGAAGACTACAGTAACAGCAACAGCAATCTGAGTATTTAATAATTAATTTTTAAACTACTCAATTTATATGAAAATAAATGTCATAGAAAAAAAAAATTATTTCCCCAACAAATTAGATGTTTTGATGACTACAACAATATTTATATAAACACATTTAAAAATTCAAGCATTTGTTATAAAAAGAACTGAAAATTAAAATCTTAAAATTATTTTAGTAAGAAAATAGATCAATTATACACTGTTGAAAGTGCACTTTCATGTTACTTCAAATATCTATCAGGAACAGGTTTCAAATACAAATTAGTGCTATGTTACTACCTATTCCAGTTCCTAGTGTTAACTGTGATTTCTAGCTCCTTTTTTTAAAATGAAAATCACATCTACAGTTTGTATTGTTTTCAGACATCAGAGGAGTCTTTGGTCTATGATAAAAACGATCTTGTTAATGGACTTGGTGGACTTGTTGGACTTATTCTTGGAGTCTCTTTGCTCACACTTGCTGATTTTATTATTGATGTTCTATTGTTTAGATTTCTGTAATTTTTATTGTGTAGGCTTTATATTCTTCAGAAAATAAAAAAAACCTTGCCCTCATTTTTTTCTCTAGTAAAAATCATCTTTAAGGAGAGAAAAATATTTGCTGCAAAAGGAGGAATACTTTTTAAGTAGGAACATAACAATCTTGAACATTCAAAATAAAATAGAAATACAAAAACAAAGTTTGATCAGTACTCTAAATTTATATCTCATCTATAAATTCCACATCTTCTTTTAAAAATCACTATATAGATTTTACTACTTGTTTGTATCGCACAGTATTAAATGATAAATTTTTTTCTTATCTCTGATAACTTACAAAATAGTTTTCAGTTTCAATCATCATGAAATACAAGACAGTTAAATATTTATTGATGCTTGTACCCGATTGTTGGGGCTTAAACCCTCTTCATATTGAGTACAATTCTCCAATAGAGTTTACAGTGTACATGAATGAAGTGCCTGTGCTTGTTAACAAAGACGTACATGTCAGCAGAAATTTTGAATTGTTAAAGTACAGTGAAGGCTCTCTTATTACAACTAATGTATCCACTCTCGAAGGGAAGGACATTCATGGTAAGCATTGTGTTCTAATCTGTAGAGAGCCAAATTTTGTTTTTGACAAAAAATTTTGTTTGGAGTGTTTGATGAATATAAACAAAACAATCAAAACAATTTCATAATGAGACATAAAGATTAAGTAGCAAAAGTAAGTCTTAAAGACACTTTATAATCTGTGGTGTTTTAATTTCAAACCCAATTTAATTTCTTTTCAAGATTGACAAGGTTTCCAGTGTAGTTGTAAAATTTCTTATGTTTGTTTGCATATTCACGCAATACATTTTCTCAAATTATGAATGTTGTTATTGATATCTTCAAATTTCTGCTAGAAATTTCTAACAGTTAAAAACCTTTACAGTCTAATTTAAACTGGAATAAACTTTTACAAAGTTTATAAAGTGAACCAATCAGGGTCCTATGAGGGGCAGTCAGTAGAGTGGACTCCTACTGATGCATGCACAACCACATCAGAGAGGGTTTATAGTGATGGCTTTATTATCTTTAGTCAGTTCTTCTCTTGTTATCTTAAAGGTTAGGTTTAATAATATGTACCATGCATTTCCATTTACAATTTATTTTTTTTTAAATTTGTCATTGTAAAATATCGATATATAAAAGTGTTGAATACAAATTTAAAAAAAACAATAATTATTTACTGAAGATGCAATTTTTGAAGCAAACTTTGGAAAAATACTGTTTTTTTACTGACAACGACTTTAATTGAACAAACTATTTCTAGTTAGAAATAAAATTGAGAAATGTTTAACAATTCTGAAAATAAATGAAATAAAAATTTTTCTGACAACAGAACAAAATGAGAAGTTGGCAAATAATGAACAGATGAAATTTAAAAAAGCTGAATGTGCCCATCTCTAATTATGCCCTGAGAAAATCTTTCAGCGATATTTCTAAAATTATTATTTACCAAGGCATGTCCAATTATATAAAAGTGTTTGAAATATTAAAATAGTCTTGTAAACCGATGGACAACCTTCTAATAACCAACAACAGGTTTAAAAAAATTAATGAAAAATTCCATTAGTCTGATCGATTTGATTAACATTTCTGATTACTTGCACTGAGAGAGAAATGCTTGTTCATGTCCAACTGAAAATTTGACTTGAAAATCCAAAATTTGTCAATTTCTGTGGCAGAAAAAGAAGAATTTAATTACTTCATATTTGTTTGTATTACTTGATCTGTAGGAATTTTTTAATCTTGATAATTTGGTGTTTTTAACATTTTGTCACTTAATTTGAATCGCTCTGCTTTCAGAGGTAAAGCCATTACTGGCAATGGGCTTCTAGTGCAAAAGGGTTTAAACCGATGGGCACCTATATCAGCTTGTCTGTTCTTTTTATTCATCAATCTTGTAACGAATGGATCGCAAAAAAATTTGGACACTCCCAGATCTTGTTATTTATAAAAGTTGATACATTATCCCATCCTTGGAATTAATCAAATGTATTTCCTGCAGGAGCATCTGTTGCAAATAAGGATGACAATGCATACAATAGAGTCTCTTCTGCCTTTCCTGTCTTCTCAAAGGAATATTTATTTTGGCATTTATGTATTTTTTTATCTACATTTTAATGTTTTACATTAAATGTTCAATCACTAAAAGTAATATATTAAATGTTAAAAAGTTTGATTGAGTTGTAATTTTAGGATTGGATGCATTTTATGTTATTTAAAAAAGTACGTTCATGAAACTGCATTTGTCAGTTAAAACGAAAAATATGAATTGTGTTATTCTTTTTATGACTAGTTGGACATCAAATAGATGTGACAGTGAACAGCATTCTCCCAACAGCCTTGTTAGCCTTGCTGTCATGAAAAATGGGTTTATTCAGAATATTGAGCATCGAATTATATGCTTTAAAAACAGCTTCAGCCAATTAAATACTTGGGCACAGCCTAATAACAGTGCACTGTCCTTTCTCTCCTATGGTGGTTATATGTCTGGGTGGGCTGCAACCAGCACAGGAAACCTTAAAGATAATTTCACTATGATCAGAACAGGAGAGTACGGTGGACCTCTTATTTTGTTTGATGAAGAAATAGAAAACTACATCCTTTTCTCACCATTAAATAACTTCATGGTGTCTAATTGGGAAACCGGAGATGATTTCTTCAGTTTTGGATTGCTGGGAAGTGTAGAAAATGTTCCTCGGGAAACAAATATCAAAAATGTTATGGTTTGGGATTCCAGCCTAAGGAAATTTGATATTTTAGAAAAAGATTAAAAGCTGGCATATAAAAGCCTTTAAATAGTATGTTCAAAAAACCATCAAAACTTTTAAAAATAAATTGAAATCAAATATTTCTTGTTTCAAATAATTGATCGATTTTCAGCATAGATTACATGGTACCTCATAAAAACGGTTATACCAATATCAATGATTAGAGGGGTGTTTAAAAAGTGGGGAGAAATTCTACTGAGAGAAGGAGGAAAAGTCCTGATTACTCCTGATGATGTTGTTACAGAGTACCTGGGTTATTGGACTGATAATGGAGCTTACTACTACTATAATACAGTTCAAGGCATGAACTATGAAAACACAATAGTGAAGATTTCACAGTTCTTTAAGGAACAAAACATTCCTGTCAAATACATCAATTATGACTCATGGTGGTATCAAAAAGGTAAACTGCTTAGGTAAAAAACCTCACTGGGAAATTTTTGAAAAAATTACTTGAACAAGCATTCTGAGATTGATGAATTTGAGCTATTTTTGCATAACACAAAACAACAATTCAAAGTTAAAGATTAAGGAAGTATTTCAATTGGTGATTCAAATTTGAGCTGGCACTGGTAGCCAGTTCAAATTCAATAAATTTGATCCGTTTCCCTATTTTATAGCGTCAAATACTGAAAAATAACAGCTTACTTTAAGGAATTAACCTTGGCACTAAAACTTGGACAGCAATGGAGGATATATTCCCAGATGGGTTGAAAAACTTGTACACTGAAACTAGTCTGAAAGGTACAAAAGTAGATATCAAATACAGAATTTTTACATTTTATTTTTCTTTTATCAGTTGTTGCGCACAATAGATACTGGGGAATAGATAATATTTATGCGAAGGAGAATAATGGGAACTATACATTTATAATTGAACAAGAAAATAAGGTAAATTCTTTAGAAGTTAAGTAAACTTTTACTAATTTCAATAATTGTATTTAGAGAGCTATTCCAAATGATTCGGAATTTTGGAGAGACCTATTTAAAGATGCAGCTGATTGGGGTCTTGAGGTTTATGAACAAGATTGGCAGGTGTAAAATATCAATATATTAATTAATTGATAATAAAGATAACATTTGTGTTAACAAATTACAGTGATCATTAAAATTACGGTTGAGAAATGAGAAATTCTAAGCTCAAATTCCTTTGCTGTTGAAAATAACAAACAAAAACCAAAACACAAACAAAAATATTCTTTTGCTTATTGTTTACCAACTGTCTATACATATATGATAATTCTTTAGGACAGGCAATTTGTCCAAATGAACGAGACGCACACAGATTTTAATCTGGCTCGGAACTGGTTGCTCCAGATGGGTCAGAGAGCTGAGGAGTCTAATGTTTCAATACAGTACTGTATGACCCTACCAAGAGAAGTTCTATAAAGTACAGAAGTGAAAGCTGTCCAAAGAATCAGGTCATTTTAATATGCACTGCAAACTGATATTGACAATTTAGTTTATATTTTTACAGTAAAAATTTGGCATTAATATTAAAGGCTAAGGAAAAAATCAAAAGTTGGCAAAAGGTAAATGTAAACTCCCTAAATACAACTACAGTCAGTTACACTGAAAACACTGCACTGAGTAATTAATTGAGATTCTTTGATAAGCATCTATTTCCTATTCTCAGGGTGAGTGGAGATTACATTCTTAGTAAGGATAACTGGGAAATAGGAGCTACCACTCTTCTTGCAACCAGCATTGGTTTAGCAGCTTTTAAAAATGTGTTCTGGACAAATCAAGAGAATCCAGGAAACAAGTTCTACTATGAATGCATGGAGGCTAAGAACAATACAGATCCCAACCAACCCTGGACTCTTGAATACAGATATACTGGATACTTAAACTCTACAAGGTCAGGACATCAATGTAGGAGTTGGAATGATCTCAATCTCAACTGGGAATGGCCACTTTATGATTTAGGTAATAATATTTTCAAAATAGTTTAAATTTAATTCTTAAAAACGTGGCCTGATTCTGTAATTTTAGAAGAGGGGCTAAGGGGAGAGGCATCCCACACAGACTTACCCACCTTCCATATACATTAGAAAGCATTGGAAGGTTCAAGCTGAATAATGATATGGCAAAACATTTAGTGATTTTTGTTTAGAACGAGATGGTTGTCGAAGTATATCTGGTTCTAAATATGCTGATGGAAAACCTTTCTGCTTTTACAATGCCAGCTTGGAGGTTACAAATTAAATAGTTTTAAGCAGTAATTCTTCATTTTTACTGCTTAAGCAGATTTCAATGTAAGAATGCAAATCTTCCAAAAGAAAGCAAAAACACAACACATATGCTTGTTTCTGGCTATGATTATTTATTTTAATAATTTTTTTTAGGGGGGGGGGGGTAATAATTGTTGATGTTTAAACTCCATGAATAAAAAGAAAAATACTATAATGAACAAAATCCAGAAGTTGCCAGCTTCTTCTCCAGGTTCCTCAGGAGGACTGGAAGTGGGAGGAATGTAATATTCCAATCTGTGAATTAAACTGTACAAGACCTGGTTTCAATATTGATCTACCAATCTGTAAAGAATACACAGAACCTAATCCATTACTTCAAGCAACTGTAGCACTCTTCTCAGGTTCTCTTAACAGTAAGACGCACAGAACTGTAGAATAGGAAGACGACATTTAAAGTTTCTAATGTTCATAAGAAAATAGTTTTAAAAAACAACTATTATAACTTAAATGAATCTGTGTATATTAAACAATATCGGTATCTCATGTTTATTGGTCTAACTTGAGTATTTTATATGTATAGATATATATATATATATAAATATATATATATTTTGTCTATCTATTCCACAATTTAACTGGTCTGCCCTATATGCTTTACTAAATAAGTTTTCTCCTTAAATACGAAAAATTATGAGTAAGAAAAGTTACACAGGTATTTCCACATATTTGTTTTAAGCATATGGGGCAGTACTGTACAGTGTAAAACAAAGACTTGTACAACTTTGACATGTTGGTACTGTTTAAGGTTTGCACTTCTTTTATGTAAAAGAATCTGTATACGTATATTAATTTCTCGAATAGGTTCATTTCAGTTTTAGTTTGATATAGAAAAAAATACAATTAATTCAAATAATGAAGGTGGTGGAGTTGGGTTTGGAGATGCTCTTGAGAATATTAATGTTGAGGTTGTGAAATCAACCTGTAGATCCGATGGAAGATTACTTCAAATATCTCAACCTTTAATAATATCACCATTGCAACTAAACTACATGGCAAAGGTAACTAATTTCTAGGGACTGTAAGCGTTATTCCAAATGACCTTACATAAAAAGATGACAATGTCTGATTAACAACAGTACCCTTAAAGCTATTTCTGATAGTACAAATTAGATATCAATGTTTTTTAAATGATCAGATTACACACATTTAAAACCCTAGAAACCCACATTATTGATCGTTTAAGGGTTGCAAGGGTAGTGTTCCATAGATGTAGGGCTGGGCAAAGTTCCGTTGACGAAACAGAGGTTTTTGAAAATTAATAAAAGAGTCCGTTAACGAACGGCAAAATCCCTTAATTGTAAAACAGGCATTGCCATCTGTACATGGAGGGTTATACTTAAAAATACCCTCACAGTCCATTTAAATTGAATTCTGGGTTAAGACATGGCTTCACTATTTTTAGACATTTTATTGTGCCATGCTGTCTTACAATTTTGGACACTTTTTTTTGGAGNTCTTCTGTATTTCAAAAGTTTCACACTAAAATTGTCAACCAACTTTATCGAAAAGATTACCTTTTTCTTATCAATTTTCAAACAATGATATGATTTTGTCTAACATGAACAGTCCTTTTCTAGAATTGTTCCAGTGGTTGGCCACACAGCTGTGGTGGTGAGGTCTGGACAGGAAACCAAGATGTTTCAGGAATCAGAGATGGGCATCGTTCAGAAAAAAACGAACGATAGATGAACAAAATGGATCCTTCAGAGAAAAGAAAAAATGATCGTTATTTAAAAACGAAGGATATCAAACAAAACGAATGATTTAAGATCGTTCGAACGAACTTGAAAAACTTTTGATTTTTCTTAACTAACATTTATACTGAACAAACGAATTTACTGAACGATCTATCAGGTAGAAAACGAATGAAATAGCTGGAAAATGAACAACAATTTCTAGTAAGAACGATTAAAAAACCAAACGAAATGGGTTGTTCACGAACGATAAACAAAAGAAATGAAAAAAGCAGAACATGCCCATCTCTATCAGGAATCAAGTTCAATGTCATCTTTAGTAAGAATTTATTATCATCATTACATTTAGTTTTAACTTTAAAGGGAGTGTTAACTAAATTTCATTATAAGTTAAGTCATATATTTTCTACAGGACTTCTCGGCAACTCTCATTCCTTTGTTTACATTTCTGGAATTAGCAGATATATACAGTGAACCCCTTACTAACGAATACATCGAAAGAATTCATCAAATGTTGTATTCTTCACTTTCTGATAATGGAATGTTGCAGATATTTAGTTTTTTAATGAAATGATTATATGGAACTCTTTAAAACTGTTCCCGCATATTCTTTGCTATTTATTTATTTTCGCAAATACTGAAATTTACGTAATATAGTATAAAACTCATTGAAAAATTGTTAAGACGACATTTGATAAATTCTTCCGATGTATTCGTTATTAAGGGTTTGACTGTATAAAAAGTTTTAAAAGCATTAAATAGTCTTTTTAAAGTTGTTATACCCTTTTAATGTTTAGCTGATTAATAATGTGGATGATATCGTCTCAGCAAAAAAATGTCTAATTCTGAAAAATTTCTTCAATGTTTCTAAAACAGAGAAACCACATTTGTAATAATCATTTTTTAAGTTTATGAATATCTGATAAAAGAAAACTTGAGGCAATTAATTGTTTACAACTTCAGTTGCTGAGAACTCTATGGCAGAATATGCCTCCTTAAAATATTTGGGGTTGGATGATGCAGAAGAGAAATATATAATTTATGACAGACAGGTATCATTCTTGTAATGACTGTTTAAATTGATATTTTAAAAATTCTTAAACCTTGGCCTATTATTGTCTAATATTTTCAATTATCAAAATTTAATTTTGTTCGGGTTCAAGGGATATCTGTCTGAAATGGAACCCAATTCTGATGTTTATTTACCTACCCTGCCCTTGGATACTTTTAAGGTACGTTGTAAATAAGTTCAAAATTGGAAAAATTAAAAATGTAAGGAAAAAGAGATGAATGATCAAAATTTATACAGTTTTATGTTCAATGTTCATAAATCACACATGGTTTCTTAAATAGACACAATTTAAAAATGTAATTTTTTGTAGCAGATTAAAGTTAGACTTTAATCGCTCCTTAGCAAGAGTTTCATGGCGCCATTTTAATCTCATTCTTTATTTTTAACTCTTATAAATCAAATTATAGATTTTAATATTCGTCTACGGTTGTAGAAAGATAACATGCTGTCACCTAAACGCATAATTGTTTTAGTAAAGATATTCACTTAAATGGGCCATGCATGGTCTCCACTCTGGGCCGTAGTAAATTTGAATTCGAACAGGACCTGCCCAGTTTGTACTGGCGCGGCCTGCCAGATAACAGCGTGTGCTGACCCCATCCTATGGTACAGTACGTCGCCCTAACCAGACTAACATACGACAGGGGTCAATTTTCTTGGCATAGTCCCGTAGGAGGGCTAACAATGACAACTCCCATGGCGCATTCAGACTTTTTACAGTACCCGACCTAATCCGGCCTGTCTATTTGACCGACCCCACTGGCTTAGCCCACCGTGTCTTCTGCAGATATAGTTTGGCATATAGAATTCAATACGGCCTACCCTTTCAACCTTGGATACTGATAAGGGTTGATGAGATATCATTATTTTTCTAGCTAAATATGAGTTATCTTGCAAAAGGGTTTCCAATAAAAGGGACTTACTCATATTAAGATTTAAAGGGAACTGTTGTGAATCAGACATGCTTAACTTTAAATGCTTCTACAGTTCAAGAATAAAGAATAAATTTGAAATTGTGTGTTGTGGACCAAACCTCATAGAGTTATTAAAGTATTGTTGAGTTCAAGGAGGGGGGGGGGGGGGGGGGGGGGGGGGGGTCGAGACGTGGCAATAAGAACAATGCAGAGTTGGCATAACGGAGAAAGGAGGGATATGTATCAGCGGTCTCCGGGCAACTAAAGTTCTCAGGTTGGCAATATAGAAGGTTGGCAATTGGTCATAGGCCTCCCACAAGTTCTCCTCTAAACCATAGACGATAATATCAGAAAAGTCTATATTTCGATCCTGGAAATAATTAATGTTTGGCCACCCGAGAAAATCTTGGTCAAAGACGACCTTACAGTTCAAATGTTTTGGTTAACAAGAAGATATGTTAGTTCCACATTTTATCGAAAATAAAGTTAGGTCTGGATTGACCCATCGTCAGTTCTTGAGATGATCATGAAGATTCAAAACAAATATAATCAATAATTAATATTGTTAGGTTTATCACACTTCCCCTCTTCTTGTACTTGGATCTTGGAATATATCTATCCTGGGGGAGATGGAGAAAATTAGGTAGAAAAGAAACACAGATGTAAATCTTTAATTCTATTGATCAAGGGTTTGGGTGGACAGATATTATGATATTAATATAAATGATTTGCCTAATAAAGCATGAAGTTTTAAACTAAAAGAATCCACTAAAATGTAAGAAAAATCAGTGTTGTTGAAAGTTATATTCTTGGTGCAGATATTTCTGAATTATTACAAATTCTTATAGTAGTTTGCGTTTATATCAATACAATGAACACGATTTTTTTATTTAAGATTTATTTCTTTCAAATTACAAGTAAGCTGTTAATTGACAGCTTCGCTTTAATTGTTTTTGTGAATCCATGCTGTTTGGAAGCTTGCTAGAAATCAAAGTTGTAATCGAAAGTTGCTTTATTACAGTGAAACCCTTAATAACGAATACATCGGAAGAATTTGTCAAATGTCGTCTCGAAATTTTTCAATGAGTTTTATACTATATTACGTAAATTTCAGTAATTGCGAAAATAAAAAAATAGCCATGAATATGCGGGAACAGTTGTAAAGAGTTCCATATCATCATTTAATTAAAACAGTAAATATCTGCAAAATTCCATTATCAGAAAGTGAAGAATACGACTTTTGATGAATTCTTTTGATGTATTCGTTATTACGGGTTTCACTGTATATTGCTACATACAACGACGACTATACCAAAGTATTGTGAATTCCATACAGAGGCGTAGTTGTTGTAAAAAGGGATCAGACCTTTTATTCTTGAAGTTGTATCGTATTGAACTTTACAAGAAAAGAGAATATCCTTAACGACGACATTTAACTTATTATTTCTTCAAAATAAGATTGTATTGTGATTTGTGAGGAAAATTATAATTGTCAAATATTAAATGATATTGTAAATAAAGTATAAGCAAATGAAATGGAAATTTTACAGGGTGACCCAATAAACATAAACATTACTACAACGAAAATTTATTAGATTTGAAAATATTTTAATTTGAATGAGCTGAACACTTTAGAATGGTGGATATGGAGATTAATGCTTGATCCTCTCTTTTTCTTAATCTTGTACTTGTATCCTGAAAAGTGTATAAAATTCAAATAATCAGAGTCGCGTATATGAAGCCGATAAATTTAAAATTTTGGGCGCCATTTAAGATTGATAAACAGAAACGGGAGGGACTCTCTAATTTTTAAAAAACCGGTTTTAGATTCTTCTCTACTCTATCCAAGAAAGAACGGTTTAAGAAGAAAATTAAAAGTGTGTCCATTAGATACTCAGATTGAGTAATCGTGTTTATGGATATTTCATTCTAAAGTTTTCAGCTCTGGTTGAATTTCTAGCGGTTCTACTGCATATAAGTAAAGACGACATATATGAAATTATGAATGGTTTCTGACACTGACCCGTTATTTCTAATTTATATATATAAAAAAAAAACTTTAAAACAAACCATCCTCGAGCGAGTCTTCAATCTTCATTTTAAAAATAAGATTCCTACGATATTAGATAAAGAGCAAAAATACAAGAATTTACCCAAGAAACATTTTTACCTACTTTTTGTGCCGATGGCGAAGTTGGCGGGTAAATAATTCTGGACTTCATTTGTCGGAGACTAAATGTTTGCAGGGTACAAAAAGTGAACGTAGTTCGTACCAAAGAACTTCAATTTGAAAGAAATAAAATATCCATGAAATAGTTGTTACAATTTAATTTCTGATTACCAACTCACCAACAAATTTGGTTCAAATGAGAGATATTGTCTTGGACGACCGATTTGTCAAAAATTATACAAAACAATTTGCTAAATAAAGAAAAACAATGAAAATTTAACTAATTTTCTAAACACTATAAAATTCAAATTCAAATTTTTAAGATGCAAACTTTAAAAAAAAATTATTTTAAATTTAGTGTTGTTTCAAATCAGAGAATGAAGACTATTAGAAGAACTGAACTTACAATAGAAGGTAAAAAACGTCAAATTTAGATATTTTTGGAGATGAAAACTTGAAAATTGTGGATATCCAAATCAATGCTTGATCTTTTTTATTGGTAATATTAAGATTATTTTAATCTTTTGTTTGTATCCAGTAAAGTCAGGGGCGGATACAGGGGGGTGGCGGGGGGGCATTCACCACCCCCTGACAGATTCAGGGAGTCTTTAAAGTCAAAAAAAATTTCGCCTGCGGCACGATTTTTTGTTCCTAATTATCAATTTTTTTGTTCCTAAAAAATCTTGCCCCCCCCCCCCTCACTTAAATCCTGTATCCGCCCCTGAGTAAAGTTTCTAAAAATCCAACCAATCGTATTGCAATGCAGAATCCCGAACAGCATTCAGAAGAAATTTCATTGGTCGCAATCTAGTATATTCAAAAAGCAAGCGATCGATATTAAGGTTTTCCGTTCTAAAGTTTTCAGCTCCGAACTAATTAATTTTAATTTAGTCGATATAATTGGCGGAGCCCTCGAATCAGTGGTGTTCAGTTTATATTCCTGGAAAGAGAAAGCTGTAAGAAAAGAATTTATAAAAATTTATTATTGATATTAATTGATTAACACATTCCTTTACTGTACAAATATTCATATACGGTGAGAACCAGAAAACCCTGGAATATGAAGGCGACATTCAAACAATAGTGTATTTGTTGTTGTTACGAAGCAAACAGTAAACTAATTAGATGTTCAGGAACATATTTCTCAATAGAAATTTCAATATATAAATTTTAGAATCAATGATATCGTTTAAATCATTATATTGATTTCTAATTCTTAACGAATTTGTTCGAAGATTTCTTAAATGTCGTCTTTTTAATAAAAATTCCAGAAAATCTACAGAAAATATTTTTGAACAATAAGAGACTACAGAAACTAATAACTGAATAAGATTACGTATTTTTGATGATAAGAGTACATTTTTATTTTCTCAACCTTTTCCTAAATAATTAATTAGTTTACTGTAGAATATTTGTTAAGTTTTTTTGTTGCCATTATTTAATAATCTTTTAAAAATCGATTCTAAAAACAACATAAATAGATGATTTTGAAAGTCGACGTTGGCCTCAAACTCAGTAGTTATACATCATTGAAACGTTTTATGTCTCAAATGAATCCTAAAAATTGCCGGTCACTCCCTTTAGGTACGCACTGCGTACACATGGAAAGTCCGATTCACAGTGGTAACATTGTCCTAGGAACAGTTTTTCGACGTTTTGTTAAAATTTTAAATTCTCACAATTTCTTCTATAGTGTCTGCAGCATAAACCCGCAATTCAATTTCTTCCATCGTCTCTGCAGCATTAACCCGCAAGTCAATTTCTTCTATCGTCTCTGCAGCATAAACCCACAATTCAATTTCTTCTATCGTCTCTGCAGCATTAACCCGCAAGTCAATTTCTTCTATAGTCTTTGCACATAAACCCGCAATTCAATTTCTTCTATCCTCTCTGCACCATAAACCCACAATTCAATTTCTTCTATCGTCTCTGCAGCATAAACCCACAATTCAATTTCTTCTTTCGTCACTGCAGCATAAACCCACAATTCAATTTCTTCTATATTCTCTGCAGCATAAACCCGCCAGTCAATTTCTTCTTTCGTCTCTGCAGCATAAACCCACAATTCAATTTCTTCTATAGTCTCTGCAGCATAAACCCACAATTCAATTTCTTCTATCGTCTCTGCAGCATAAACCCACAATTCAATTTCTTCTATCGTCTCTGCAGCATAAACCCACAATTCAATTTCTTCTATCGTCTCTGCAGCATAAAGCCGCCAGTCAATTTCTTCTATAGCCTCTGCAGCATAAACCCGCAAGTCAATTTTTTTCTACAGGGTTATGAGGTTTATTTGAAATTGTGATTACAGTCCCTTTAAACAGTCTCTTTAAATGTTTAGAAGTTTGAATGTGAGCTGAGTATTAATGGACTGGGTACACTAGTATTAAACGGAGAAGACACAGATCAATTTATTACTTTTTGTTTGGCGGGAAATATTTTGTAAAAATTTAAATTTTTTTTTCATCAATAAATAAATATTAAACGATACAGTTTTTATAAGTAAATTGACAATTGCTGTTAAATCATTATTTTACGAGGTCTAGGTTTTGATTTTGTAAATGGTTTTGTTTTTTTTCAATTAAAAACTTTTTAAGTTTGTTTGATCTATTTTTTACAATTACACTATAAAAAGTTTGACATTTCAACAACTATAGAATTATCTTTATATATAAAGTTGTAATCTCTGTTTGTCTGTTTGGGTGTTTGTTGGTTTGTCCGATCATAAATCCTGGACCGATTTGTCTCAGATTTTGATTGGGAAACTCGGGAGGACCACAAGAATTTCTTAGCTTGTTTTTGAGATTCATAGTTGAGTGGATCGACTTTATTCGGGACAAATAGTTAAAATCGAAATTTACGAGAAGCGCGGGTAATACAACACTATTTTTAATTTGAACCTGGATACATTCATTGATTTGAAAATATTCGCAACTCTGACTTTTTTTCTTATTTCAAATTTCATTTCGTGATAAGAGTCTAAAAAGTATAGTATTCTAGCATAATAATCTAAAAAGTATAGTATTCTAGCATAATAATCTAAAAAGTATAGTATTCTAGCATAATAATCTAAAA